GTCATCGCTGGCTATCTGTGAGATGTCGTATGTCGTCGTTCTCTTAGAGGGGCGGAGTCATGTCGTAAGGGGGGGTCACCTCCCTGTCTATTGACAACGTCTCATTGGCTGCCGATTTAGTGTACGTAGAGTTCGGGTCCGGTTTGTGGGTCTGAGAGAGGGCTCAGGGATTAGATTCATGAGTGAGAGAGAGGGAGAGAGAGAGAGAGAGACGTATATAACATACGGTCGACTCATTGATCAACACATTCTGAAGATTGCTAGCACTGGTAGCTGTGGTGACAGTGGCCGTGGGCTCACACTTCTTGATGTACGCGTTGGCCATCGCTTTCTGCCGCAGACTTCTGTTGTGGCGTCGGTTGCGCGCAGCCCTCATCTCCCGTTCCCTCTGTCGCTCCCTTTGCGTGTCGTGTTTTCGTTGCAACTCATACTCCCGGCGCTACTTCGCCTCCAACTCCTTGGCCTCCAGTTCGCGCTCCTCCTGTATGCGTTTCAATAGCTCCCGGTGCTCTCCTTCTCGCTTGTGCTCCCTTTCCTCGCGTTTCTGCTGCTCTTTGAGGCCATTTGTATCGCGCCGTTTGGTGGCCTCCCGGAGCTCCGCCGCCCGCACAGCCATCTCCTGACTCTTCATCTTCTTTTCGGTCACTGACTGCTCGATAAGTATCCGTCGCTTCTCGACGGCCCGCTTCTGCCCCTCCTGTGAGGCCAACAGCCGCTGCCAACGCTCGTCGTCCGCCTCCTGACGCCTCTTAAGCGCGCTGTCCGTCAGTGCTGTCGACTCGGCCGCCGATCTCACCCTCGAGTGCGACCGAACCGCGCGACCGCTCGACTCGTCAGTGGCCGGTGTGGTCGACCCCTGAGTCTGCAAACTACCGGCGCCGCCAGCAGTGGACTCCTCGCCACTCGCAATTCCGGACCCAATTTGTGGTCTCTTTACCGCCGAAGACGTGCCACTCGTGTCTGCGATCCTCGACTGTATCCGTGTCTTCAGCGCCGATAACTGCGTCCTCGACTCGTGTTTGGTGTCCATCGCGTCCAAGAAGTCCTCGGTTTCCGGATTTTTTGTGGTCTTTAGTGGGCGTCGAGTCCGCGTCGTCTGCTATCCAGTCGTTATCCTCGAGTTCTTCGCGATAATCAGCTGATAAGTGGATTACAAGAAGTGATGGCAAAGTGTTTTGTGAGACAATCACTCAATGAATGACTGATTGAATGCGAAAAGCGTTGAAAAGTTCATTAATTTGACGATTTGTTCACAAATTACTGTACAAACCGTTCATAAATCACGTGATGAACGCATGCGTGCGACCGATACAGTCAACCCTAGATGTTGTGCACGAGTGTATTATACAGTAAACTCACGGCTAATCGCATAGAAGCTTATTTTGATGTGTTTTATACCATAAGTAAATGTATAAAACCATACCTTTCCCCATAACATGTGTTATTATACTCTGTGTTCACACTTACGGCTCGAAAACAAAAACAAAATTAAATTTTTCAATACATTTTCAAGCGATGACTGATTTCGTGGTAACTATGAAGCCGTTTACGATCACCGATGGGATCCACTGGTGATCGGCCCCGTCATGGACTACAACCTAATCGTCATAATAGCCGTCGTATGGCTCATCATAAACGTGATGAATGTGGTGCTGAAGACGTGGTTCAGCTACGAGTTCGCCCAAACCCTGCAGACATTAGGTCTCACCATAAGACCTCTTCAGATCCAGATGTGCACCCAATCACTGAATCGTGTCTTCTATCTCCTGAGCACATGTCGGCCCAAACTGCTGGACAAGTGGTTCACAGTGGGAACCGTTGTGACACTGGCCGCGATCATACCATCCGTGTATATACTGCTGCAGACGCTGTACCAGCTATTGGTCGCCAATTATCTCATCGGCGGTAACCGAGCGCTGGCCAGTGGGCAGGCGTTGTATCCTGTGGTGGGTGTTGTCGGCGGCGTTTGATCCGTGTCTTAGTGTCTAATCTATATGTCTTTGCGTCCATCAGATCCCCGGCATTAACCTTCCGATGTCTGACTTTGTCTACTATTTCATAACTCTCGCCATAAGTAGTATATATCACGAGTCGGGACACGCGTTGGCAGGGCTCAGGTATGCATTGTCTCGTGATTTTGTTCAATAGTGTCACTCACGAGGAATATCTCTACTCTATGTCCACAGGGAAGGGGTACGCCTTCACAGCTTCGGTGTCTTCCTATTCATCATAATTCCGGGCGCTTTCGTAAACCTGTCGACAGAGCAGGTCCTGAATCTGAACGTCTGGAACCAATTGAAGATCTTTACGGCCGGCGTTTGGCATAACATATCTCTCGCACTGTTTGCCATCGTTTTGCTGTTAATCAATCCATTCGTATTGAGTCCACTGTATAGTCAACCGCCCGGTGTTGTGGTCGCTCACATCGAGCCGGTATGTAATGGACACCCACTTTGTGGTGACGTTGAACTCATTTTTATGTCTATTTGTTTGGCGGGACTGTTAGCTGTCGGGCGCCGCCGGTCCTAACGGCTTGCGTACGGCTGACGTGATCACTGGTGTCGACGACTGTATGATTATAGACACCACTAATTGGAAGCAGTGTTTGCTGTCTATAGCCAACCATCCGCGGGACGGGTATTGCGTGGACGCGGAGTTTATCGCGAAGGAGATCAAGAGTTTCGCGCCGGTAGTCAGTGGTGGACAGGCAGCCGGCGCTCATTGTTGTGATAAAAATAGTGAAAATAGTTTGTGTTTTATAAAGAATAACTCTATGAACGAGAGGGTGTGCCTACCGGTGCGCCGGCTACTGGACACCAGTCCCATGACATGCAATACTAGCGCCGATTGTACGCGAAGTATGGCTAAGAGTAGTGATAATTGCGTGAAACCCGTGGCCGACACGAACGGCACGAAACTGGTGCGGATTAGACGACAGGGAAAGCCTAATGTGCTGTTTTGGGGGTCGCCCTCCGAGCTCTACCAGTCCATCGTTTTAGTCAAATACAAACCAAAGTTGACGTCTTTGCCGCTCATTTGCATCCATTACTACGAGACACTTCTCAGGTATTCATTGGGTTTTTGATCTTAAATATGGATTTTAATGTATGTTTTGTGTGTCTATCTGTGGACAGGTATTTGATATCGTTTTCGTTGGCATTGGCGGTGTTTAATGTGATTCCGTGCGTCTATTTGGACGGTCAGTGGATTATCAACGCCTCCATTGAGCTGACACTGGCCTCGAGGGTCAGTACGAGAGTCAAGCGACTCGTATCGCAAGTGTTGATATCCATGGGAACGGTAGTCCTGTCGTCGTGTGTTGTCATCGGTTTATACCAATTGTTTGACACTTAAGTACAACGAATGCATTGTTTGTATTTATGACCAATTGTTTACGAATTAATTAATAAAATGCTTTTCTTTCATATTTTATGTAATTTTTTTTGGGAGAGAGAGTGAGAGAGAGTACATATTATATTGAATAATGTTTTTATAATTTAGTTTATTCCTGTAGTACTGTAATTAACGTTCAAAAAATCCAAACTATTAGACATACCGGTACACTAAATTTTTACTAGTTAAATGTTAATAGTAATAAATTATTACACATCTAATACAGTAGTTTGGTAATATGGTAGTTTATTACATATTTCTAACGAGTAAGTTTCAAATAAAATTCCATACTATTAGATACTGTATCTAAAAAATTGTTAAAATCTCAACAAAATTGCCTACCTAATAGTTTGACTATTACTGATAATTAAATTCCTAATAAAATTCCAAACTATTAAGTATTTAATGAATTTGTAATCACTTTGTTGAACTAATTTAGCCATATATTGGTTTTATTTTTTAGATTTTACTTAATTTTTAATTAGTAATTTTATTTTCAGCAATTAGACATTACTCGCAGTTTATATTTAGGTTAACCGCAAATTCAATTACACGTTAATTTTCAATTTTTTTTATTGAATACTTTAAAATTAGTTCATAAATAGTGATAAAATGAGACACGAGTGTTTTAAAAATAATTGTATTTTATTCACACAATTAATATTCATATAAAATATTTCAATATTAAATACATTATAAAATTTCCAAAAATGTTTACAAAATAATAAATGAGAGAAAAGTGTTTTTCTATAATATAAATGAATCGTTTTTACGATTTTTGTTAGT